GGAGCCGGGTGTGAGCAGCGGCGGCTTCGCTGTGCACGGGAACACGCATAAATAAATGAACGCGCCGCTGTATAGTATTTTATTGTTATTACGCGGACTCGGTATTCTTAGCGATCGTGTTGGACTATTTTTAAATCGACGCGGCGGATATTTCCGTGCTGGCGGCGCTTGAATTTCCTTCGGCAAGTTTATCGTTGTACGAAAAGAGAAATGTTAGAGCCCGACCGACTATATTAACGAAATTAGCGCTCGAGAGAGACCGGGATTGAAATTGTAATGGAGCTATTTTAGCCGGATGAAGTAGCGATTCGTATCGATAGAGGCCACGCTGAGAGTTTCTGATGTGCCTCGCGAAGGTTTCAAATTTGTTACAGTAATCTTCGTTCACCAGCAGATTAAATGTTCATGGAATGCACAGTGATATAAAACGCGATTATATCCGAGCAAGATGATTTTTGTAGCCTATATTGGAGGTTTCAGGATCGAATAAAAAAATGTTTATTCATGTATCGTCGGTACACGCACACACAAAATAAAAAAACTTAATATTATATAATAAGAGTAGGAAACAATTATCTACCAAGAATATTTCCCTCTACATGAATGTACACATATTATATTATATTGTACATACGTAAGTTCAGAGTGATATCGTTTTTTATAATGTGCAATATAAACATAAATAATTTCTTTGAAATCAGTCTTGGTCAAAAGAAAATATTTATATTTCAATAACCTGCAACGACCAGCAGAAGTTATGCAACAATTCTGTCAATATTTCTCGCTATTTTTATTTATTCTCTGAAATCTTTTCAGTTCTTATTTACACGAAAGATCAAGTGAAAATTAATCATAGATAGGTACGATCGATACACAAAATATAAGGAATAAATAGACATTTTTACGTAGAGAGAAATATAACGACGAAAACCATTTGGCTCAGCTAAAATCGCGGTTTAGACTACTGTGTGACGCACTGTGTTCCGTGTTGTTACCTCATGAATGAAACCAACATCAAAGGACGAAGAGGTGGTAATCACCGTAGCTGTGAAAGAAATCGTAGTCCAAGGGCTTAAAAAGTCTGCTGGTATATTTCTTTCGCATCAGAATTTTAATGAAAGTAGTTCTTTGAAGAGTGCCTTGAAGCTAGAATTACTAAATTCGATAAAGTAATTAACACCGCTAAAAGTGTATTCGTGGTATAAATACACCATCATTATTTTTTAATCAAAAAGATTCGTGATAACTGATTCATGAAGATTCATGACAGAGATACGTCGTCCCCACCAGTTGCAAGTCAACATGTTTTTTTTTATTTATTTATTAAGCAATGAAACCCCCTACGAGATCATTAGCAAAATAAAAAAAGTGTCAACAGCACGCGGTGTTCCCAGGCGGTCACCCATCCAAGTACTGACCACGCTCAACGCTGTTTAACTTCGATGATCGGACGAGAATCGGTTCTTTGCAACGTGATATGGCCGTTGACGATGTCTCAACGTCGTTCGACATCTATTTCTTCAATAATTTGTCTTCGTTGCTTAAAGAATTCGCGAATCTCATTTCTAGCACACGTGTTCCTTCTCCCCGTGCATCTTGCAGATCCGACATGTTTCCATCACATTTTTGCCCGTTTTAAAATAAAATAACATAACGTTAAAAATGTTCCGAAAACGTTCCTTTTCGTTTTCCGCCTTTCAATTGCCGCCAAACTTGTCGACCGAACTGCATCACCAAAAACTTTGGATATAATTTCAGATAGAACTGTTCCATGTTAAACTACTATCTGCTTTAGATAAACCAACCGAAATAGCTTGCATTTTGGAACGCCTAACTCCAAGAACCGTCGAGAACCGCACGAACATTCTGACCAACCCAGTGCCTATTACGACATTAAAAGCTACGCGTGCAATCGAATGATTGCGATAATATGTTTACGCGAACTACGAGATTGTTGGTGTCGCGTATCTATGTGTGGCATCGATGCTACCAGACATGGTTCCCCGGCGTATTTCGTATTTCTCAAAAAATATGCGGCAGAGGCGCACAAAGGAACGAGGTCGTAATTCCCTTTCGTCCCGCGCAAATATCAGTTGGAGTCGTTCGGATGGAAAAAATCTCGTTAACGGATTTCGAGCGACGAACTCGACGCAAACTGCGCGAGACACGGCCCCTCTAATAGATANACCTCATGAATGAAACCAACATCAAAGGACGAAGAGGTGGTAATCACCGTAGCTGTGAAAGAAATCGTAGTCCAAGGGCTTAAAAAGTCTGCTGGTATATTTCTTTCGCATCAGAATTTTAATGAAAGTAGTTCTTTGAAGAGTGCCTTGAAGCTAGAATTACTAAATTCGATAAAGTAATTAACACCGCTAAAAGTGTATTCGTGGTATAAATACACCATCATTATTTTTTAATCAAAAAGATTCGTGATAACTGATTCATGAAGATTCATGACAGAGATACGTCGTCCCCACCAGTTGCAAGTCAACATGTTTTTTTTTATTTATTTATTAAGCAATGAAACCCCCTACGAGATCATTAGCAAAATAAAAAAAGTGTCAACAGCACGCGGTGTTCCCAGGCGGTCACCCATCCAAGTACTGACCACGCTCAACGCTGTTTAACTTCGATGATCGGACGAGAATCGGTTCTTTGCAACGTGATATGGCCGTTGACGATGTCTCAACGTCGTTCGACATCTATTTCTTCAATAATTTGTCTTCGTTGCTTAAAGAATTCGCGAATCTCATTTCTAGCACACGTGTTCCTTCTCCCCGTGCATCTTGCAGATCCGACATGTTTCCATCACATTTTTGCCCGTTTTAAAATAAAATAACATAACGTTAAAAATGTTCCGAAAACGTTCCTTTTCGTTTTCCGCCTTTCAATTGCCGCCAAACTTGTCGACCGAACTGCATCACCAAAAACTTTGGATATAATTTCAGATAGAACTGTTCCATGTTAAACTACTATCTGCTTTAGATAAACCAACCGAAATAGCTTGCATTTTGGAACGCCTAACTCCAAGAACCGTCGAGAACCGCACGAACATTCTGACCAACCCAGTGCCTATTACGACATTAAAAGCTACGCGTGCAATCGAATGATTGCGATAATATGTTTACGCGAACTACGAGATTGTTGGTGTCGCGTATCTATGTGTGGCATCGATGCTACCAGACATGGTTCCCCGGCGTATTTCGTATTTCTCAAAAAATATGCGGCAGAGGCGCACAAAGGAACGAGGTCGTAATTCCCTTTCGTCCCGCGCAAATATCAGTTGGAGTCGTTCGGATGGAAAAAATCTCGTTAACGGATTTCGAGCGACGAACTCGACGCAAACTGCGCGAGACACGGCCCCTCTAATAGATACTCGCGCCGCTGGAAGACAAAGAGAGTAACTATTGTAATTACTCTGTTGGCCGCCGCCATGAAAATACACAAGCGCGCCGAAGTAGCGGGACCGTTCTTCCACCGCGAGCGTTCGCACCCCTTCGAAACCCACCGTCAACCCTGACCGCACTATTCCCCAGACTGATTGCGGTCTGCACGATAGATTTATATTTGCATTTAAAATCTGCGGGCCGCGGCACATCTGTCAAACGATGTATATTGAAATGTTCTGCACCGTAGCTGCAGCCCCGACAGTCATCGCACCCACGCGTGCCGCCATTGTTTTTCACTTTGTCCCTCGAAAATTTATCGTCCCGGACAAAGCCGTTCGGCATGGACAAATTATCTGGTCCCCTGCTGTGTTATTTTTCATTTTTTTTCGTATCGGCTGCAACGTTTCACGTAATTATATCGCGCTGCATCGTGTTTAGCGTTAAAACACTAAACCTACCGAGACGACCGAAATGACCGGTTTGACAATTTTTCTATGAAAATGATTGAAATTATAAAGATAATTCCATAGAAAATTATTCAACGCGTTTCTTCATTCGAGCAAGTAGAATTTGCCATTCTTATAAAACTTTTTATGAAGCTCGACGTGTCTAATGTTAGCAATATCGTCTTCTTTAAATAGCTAAATATTGATGATAAGATTATACAATTTTATCACGACCTGAAGAAAATTCAAAGTCAGTGGGGTAGTGAAGCCGGTTACTGTGTCTTTGGATTGTTTCCAGGCACGATGAATTTTATATTTATCGAATACGACAAAAATATCTTTTATTCGATAAATCAGCTTAATTTATTATGTGATTCGATTGGAAACTTGTTGAGCTTAAATCACATGGTTCGAGGAGAGCTTCGAGATGTTGTACTAAATTTTTTGTCGATCCCTTTTCTCCGGATTTTAAAAGTTCATTGCTTACTAACACTTACTTCTTTCTAACGACATTTCCAATTAAGTAAATAATTTTTGCCGTAATCTGCAATGCTGTAATTATGAAAGAAGCTGCAACTCTACTTCACCGATATGATAAATTTTCAAATGGAGGTATGTTTAGAGTTTGGCATTATTGGTATATTAATAGCAAGGTGGAAACGATTCCCTCGATTCACGGCGTGGAGCCGATCGATCGGAGAATCAAATTATAATTTCGGCGAGCAAGAAAGAATTGATTTCACGGCGGGGCGCGTTTGCGAAGCGGCTGCAGCATCGGCCACGGACACCGGCTGCAAAAACAACGCGATTCGTTGCCGGCTTTACCGCGGCTGTTTTATAGACGCTATTTGTGACGGGGGTGCGCGAGAGAATTGCTGCACGAGGGTTCTGGGAAAAAGGATGGGAGGTCGCACCGTTGAGAATACAAGGGCCGGTCACGCAGGATGTCCTTGCGCGATTCCTGCGTTCGTATGGGGCGCTGTCGGAGGGTGCCGGTATATGTAAGGAGAGAGTCATAATTTAGAAAAGACGAAGGAAACACGCGTCGATCGAGAGCTGATACAAAGATATTCAATTTTAGAAATAATATAATACAAGTATCTTTGCACTCTGAGGAACGCGCGACGGTTGATCGATATTATTGATCGTACTGCAGGCTCACCTGGTAATGAGTTGATGCACCCTTGGCCACTGTCCCCGCGACCTCAGTATCCTGACCGTTCCCAGAAGCGAGGATCTGTGCGACGGCGACACTTCCATGGCTTTTAGATAGTACTTCAGAGAGGGTAACCATTTGCCTGGAGAGACCGAGCACAATCTAGCGTAAGTATAAAGCTGGAGCCGTACCAGGGGGGCTGTTTCGCGGCGTAGTTCCGACGCTGTTTGGCTACTTTAAACTACTTTAAACCGTACTTTGGACCAACCGAATGGCGACTCAAGGTTTATCCTTCTAAAGCAATTTAACCGCTTTACCGCTGTCACTTACCGTTTTGGTACAACCAGGAAGCATATTCCGCGAGATGGTCCGGGCTTTGAGGCTGCAGTCGCACAACGTGTCTGAGGAGGACGCCAGCCGCTGGACCGGTCGCCAATCTCGCCAGCACTAAATACGCCGGCGTGTATGCGGGATCCAAGGACACACACTTTTGTAGCATTCGTATGCATTCCTCCGTTCTGTTGGTCTTCCTGTAAATGGAAAGACGGGAACATGCTAGCTTGCTCGGATAAATACGAGGCTGAGTCCAATAATTCGAAGGAAAGCTCGCGGATAAGGGTCTACAGTAATTTCTCAGTAATGGGAGAAATTGTAAAACAAACGAGGTCTCGATGTTCATTTTTCCAACTGAACGTACTAAATTTTGCCGCACAGAATTTATATATACCACTCTTGTCAATGTAGCTTGTATAAATTGTAAATTGCCTACATCAAGCAGTGAAAAGCAACCCATATTTCAGTCGATTCACTTCCATGTTTAACGTTCAAAATGGCAATTAACGAGAGTTTAACATTTTCCGTGTTTTTCTCAGCAGGCACATTTTTTTATGTTTCTCCGAAACTGTTTCCATTTATTTACAAATTGATTTTAAAATGCTAAACGTTCTCTTTTTAATTACGAAGGAGTAATTTTTAAAACGCATCTCCTATGGAATTACGTAAAATTTAGAAAAATATTCCGTGTTTAAATCATCAAACGTTGTTTGACTGTGAACACCGATACCAGCATAATTGGATATAAATCACGTCTAGGCGTAATTGTTAAAGTAAATACCTATTTGTCGGCTGTATAAACGACGCGGGTTGCAAATAAACATTTCAGCGTAAAATTCAGCCACCCGAATGTGCAACGTGGCTTTACGGCTGTGTTTCGTTTTATCGCATTTTTATGCGCCACGCATTACCCACACTTTTCGTCCAGTAATGAAATAATACGAGTTATAGTATCGTTGGAAAGGAACGGTTGCAGCGAAATCCAGTTTCATTTTGACAATGGGAATACATAATTGAAACGACCGGTTCCATCTTTTGTGAATGAATGAATTTAATTTTTTTGGTGGCTGCGTAGGCACGGATCATAATAATTTTACAAGAGAACTCTTTTCATTCGGTGGATTGAAAAACGTATGAACAATGTTTTCCTGGCGGAACGAACAGAAAGTTCTGCAGAGCACGGAACGAACGTTTGCGTTTACGCACCCACGCTTTGCTCCTCCCGCCAATTAAACTTTAATTTATCAAACATGAGGTGTTAATTAAAGTTTAATTCCGACTACGCCGGCAGGATTATCTTGCCACGCTAAATTTATCGCGGAATATGCACTTCGGTCTACCCCCCCCCCCCCCCCCCCCCCCCCCC